AGCCAGCTACCATAATGAAAACCATCTTGAAAACCACATATAGGGATTGTAGCAATACGTACAGGCATGCAGTTATTTGTACATGATGTCAAAATATATATGCACATAATTTGATAGGGATTTTAAATTGAATGTACTCCAAAAACAGTACCTTGTTGATATGATTGTATCTTAATATTATTCATTAAAGTTCAAAAGCTAAGACTGCGTCACGTTCCTTTTTACTCTTTACCTTCGTAGTGACTCTGATCGAAACCATATGTGTAACCTCAACAAATGCGTCACCACCACGTGATATTTAACAATATTAGACCCGAAGCCCGAATGAGCTACGGTTCAAAAGCCCACGAGACCGAAGGTCGAGTGTGCTATTGAACGTAGCCCATGAGGGCGAGAGGTCTAATTGTTTTAGTATCCAACAACTTTTTCATTTTATTCACGTTTTCTAGATTTTGAGAAACAAAATATTTCCATTTTTTGCGAATTCAGTAGAAAAAAAAAAAAATTTAAAAAGCACTCGTGACTCAATAAAATCAATAATCAAATGGAAATGGCAGGATTATTGAGTTGGGCGACCTGAACAATTCTGGATATGGAGCCACCTCCAAATCACACTTGATGGGGAATACTGAGCATGCTCTAACATCGAAACGAGGCTCAAGCATCTCAATTCACGTATTTTCCCAAGAAATACATAAAACTAGTAGTAAATAATATATTTTATTGATACTTGTCTCAAAAAGTAAGAGTTTGAACCTTCTGGGAATACAGAATCGGAGAAAATGCAAATTTATAGGGCTATTGTATTAAATGACAACATTTTTTCGTGATTTCTTTTGAGTTTGGTAAAGTCTTTGCGAATGAGAGACTGTTGTCAACTAAAGCAGCGGTTGCTCGCTTTGAACGGGAAAAAAGTGTATTTAAAGAGTCGCAATTTTTCGTCTGTAATTAGTTTTTAAACGCTTCAAGCTGTTTGTATCACTACGTACCTCAAGATGGATCGATTGATCCTCGGAAATGAAATCCTTTTCCAGAACGTAGACCAAGCTGTTATATACGTACAAAGAATTCTTAAATGATGTTTACCGTATTTTCTCAACCACCTTAAGTCCGTGACGTAATGTTTAAAGTCCAACAATAAGGACTGGACGGGATTTCAAGTCCGCGCAATTAGTTCCAGTCCGAGTTGTTACTAAAGAATTGAAAAAAAGTTTAAATTCTGATTTTGATTGAGACTCATTTGGACGAGCGAGTGAAGTCCGTAGTACTTGTCAAGCATCAGGCCTACTTCATGTTTACTTTTAGAAAGAAAGCGCACTGCATTAAGTCTTAGAATGGTTTTATAATATGTTTGTTATCTTTTTGATTTAATAGCGAGATGTACTGAATCCAGCCATCTAACTTGGATGTCTAATCATTATCATAAAATATTGAATTTATGGAGAAAAATTATTTTCATGCGTAGAGAACAAAAGGAAACACGAAAATATATGTTGGCTTTACAATAGCTCTAGAAATTTGAAGCAAGTGAGTCTGTTGTCTACTAAAACAGAGGTCGCTCGCATTGAACTGGAAAAAGGCTTATTGTCCACCATTTTAAATGGGTCTGAATGAAAGCATATAGCTAGTATTAAAGATGCCATGCCAGAGCAGAGAGCTTGGGATACCTGGGACCTGCTTGCGCAGCGGGAGTTCCTTGTTTGGCATAACGATGCTTACACTTAATTATGACAAAGGTGTCTGTACTTTATGTTTATGTAAATGACTAAAACATGTCCCTTGGTCCTGAATTGCTTTATTTAGAAAGGTTTGTCTTGCTTAATACCACAGTTCAATTCAATCCGCTCAATCCCAGATTTCAACTGTTTCAATATCAATATACGAAATTACTCTTAAAGAGTAACTTGACTTAGAGTGGAAGGTTTACCTTACATTGACCTTAGGACTTTAAATTTTGTGTGTCCATTTTTAGAAGAATGTTTTGACATACAGTCGATCCCATTAACGCTGTTCAGTTGTAAAGACATGAAGACAACTGTTACAACAAAGTCATTTGCATAAAAATGTTGTTTAGAATTCCCAGGAAGAATGTCTAAACTCCAATAAGATAGCGAATTAAAGGTTATTGTAGTTGGTTGAGCATGGTCAACGTTGTAAGCAGATCTCTTCTATGGCCGAGTTTAACTTTGCCACAAGTTGCGAAGTAACTCTAGCACAAGTCAATCTCAACGTTAACCCTAAGCCTGAGACAACAATCCAACTCTGATCATGTGTTAGCCCTAACCGCAATTTTAACAAATAGTGCGGAAAAAAATGGTCACGTGACTCGCATTTTTTGAATAAAAAGGATTGACAGTATTACCATAATTAAACTTATGAGAGCGAATGGTTGTGTAAGCGATGCAGATGTGATATGATCGTCCGCGTGTGAGAAGTCTTGAGCCAAGACTGTTATAGTTACATGACTTCTCGATATCCTGCGTGGATGAACATGCCTTCCACGCCGAATGTTGAAATGGTAACTATAACAGTCTTCCTCAAGACGTCTTACACCCGCACGATCATACTACACCTACATAATTAAACTTTTTTATATGCGTATATGCGGCGGCGGCTCCTTTATGATATGTTTTATATGAAGGGAATTGGGCTTAGATAATGAATGGTTTTTATTCAGTGGCGGATTTAGGGGAGGGGACTGGGGAGGCCCCCATCCCCTTTTGGGGAAAATTAAATTCTCGTACACGTATTTTTTTCACAAATAAATCTCCTAAAATGAAAATTAACAAGTGAATTGGCTAGTTTCCTAATAAATAATTCGCTAATTTTAGCAGGAAATTTCTATTTGATACGTTCTCCAAACTAATCCGTCATGCAAATTTCCCGCCAAAAGTTCGCGCC